GTCTTCCCTAGACCCTTCAATCCGCAAAGGATGGCTCATGCAAGACGGTAATCATTTTTTACTTTGGCATCTTTTTGCCCCTATCCAAATGAAAATTTGGTAGGGATCCATGTAAGTATGGACGCGAGTCCTCTTCCAGACCCAGCCTATCTCAAGGCCATACCTCAACATCAAGGCCCCTATCTCAAGGGTTTTTTTTTTGACCTTGCCTCTTACATCAAGACATTAGTTTAGTATTACTGACCCAGCAACACAAGTATTGAAGAAATCTCTTATTTATCGTCGAAGGGGTATTACAAATACATGCCCTGCCAATTTGGCATATCGGTAGAATTTTCTAAGGTGGTGGGAATTCCAGCACCTTTCCAACTCTCGACCTTCCGTTGTTTCTAACTTGTATGTCCCAGGGCGTAATATTGCCTTGACCCTATATGGGCCTTCCCATTTCTTCGCAAGCTTTCCACCACCACTCGGTTTGCTGGCCTCCCTTCGTCTCAAGACCTCATCACCGACTTGGAAATAACGAGGCCCTACCTTGTTATCATGGTAGGCCTTGGCCGCTTGCTGGTACTCTATCATTTTAGCCTCAGCGACCATCCGCCTTTCCTCCAACAAGTTCAACTCTGCCAAATGGTCCTCTTCATTCCCTTTCTCCTCATAGATCTTTTCCCGGAAGGTCATCATCTTTGCTTCAATGGGTAGTCTGGCCTCACATCCATAAGTAAGGACGAAAGGTGTTTCCCCGGTGGCCCTTCTCGAAGTGACTCGGTAAGCCCAGATGATATGTGGCAATTCCTCTAGCCAATTTGTTCCTGCCTCACCGAACCGCTTTTTAATCTCATCGACTATTGTGCGGTTCACATTTTCCACCTGACCATTCCCTTGCGGGTAGGCCACGGAAGCCTTGTTGTGAGTAATCCCGAAGTCCTCCAAGTATTTGGTGAACCCTGGATTCCGAAATTGAGGCCCGTTATCCGTCACAATGTTTCGAGGAGACCCGAACCTGGTGATTATATTCTTCCATACGAAGCGCTGGCACTGCTTGGTTGTGATGGTTGCATATGCCTCCGCCTCTACCCATTTTGTGAAGTAGTCGATAGCGACCATGACATACTTCTTCCTCCCTTGAGCTTGAGGGAAGGCCCCAATGATGTCCATCCCAAACCTTGCGAATGGAATAACATTGGAAATTGGGTGGTAATATGTCGGAGGCCTTCTCGGAAACTTGTAGAATACCTGGCAAGTCTTGCACCTTTGCACATCTCACAATCTTGGTTCATTGTAGGCCAGAAATAACCTAGCAAGATGATCCTTTGTGCGAGTGTCCTGGACATTTGGTGGGCTGCACAGACACCCTCATGAACTTCGGCGATCACTCTTTCCGTCTCCGCCCTGGTCAAGCATCTCAGCAGCGGACCGCCAAATGCCCTTTTGTATAGCCTTCCATCAAGCATTTGGAATCTTGGAGCCCTCAACTTTACTTTTCTTACCCTATCCTCATCCTCAGGGAATTGCCCGGTCATATAGTACCTGACCAAGTCATCCATCCAAATATCATCTGGCTCCACTCGATCTGGATTGGGCTGTCCATCTTCCTCTATCATGCTAACAGAAAA